TAGATCTATTAACAACAAGGAAAAGTATGAGGACTTAACGAATCTGAGGGGGATTACAGAGTGAACGCAACTGCACCACTGAGAACGATTTTGAAGCATATCACCACCAACAGCCACCAGTTATTGGTTCTTAGTATGTATCCTGAGAATATCAAATAGGCAGTCTACACATCCCTATTTTATTATTATTGGATTCTTTTACGTTCCCAAGGGACAATAGGGCTTAAAGCTGGAGCTTTGAAGTGTCAGTAGCAATTGTATTGTTTTTACACGGTGGGACTGCTAGTCTCGCGCCCAACCTCCCCTCTTCACCGGGCTTACTACCGGCTAATCGAGGTAAAGGAGTGCGTCGGCCAGGAGTCAAATCCCGAACCACGTGCGTCGTTGACAAGTGTGCTACAACTGGACCACTAATGCACACATCCCTACTTGGCTAAGATCAACAGGGATTGCAGGGGAGGTTTGCTTTGACCTCCCCAAACCCTTTTCCTACCTAATCCTTTATCAGCTAACACTGCTCGACAAAGAAGGAGATGGCTAGTCATGCGCAACACGTCTCCTAGAAATCTCAATCGGTGTAAATTAGCAATCTCATAAATTGACTTACTCTCCTTAGACTAACACTCAACGCCAAAACCTTAAAATTACTCACCATATTATACCACTTAATATGGTAGATACAAAGGAAGAAAATATTTGTGGTCAAAGACAACTAGCCCTTTTCATATCTTCCAAATACAGCTACTCTATTCCTGTCTTCCACTTTTAATGGCCATGTGTCACAGCTACAAAGGAGGACAGAGCGAGTTGATGAGAAGTACACATATCCTTTGATCGATAGTCAGCTGGATATCATGTCTACACTGAAGATCATATAAGATGGCAAATGACACACGAGCCTTTTACATCCGTGGTGAGATTTCGCTACTAATCAGTCCACTAACCCTGATGCAACTTCCTAAATAAGTAAAGTGGTCAACACGCTCCAACACTTTACTCCCCCTATCTTCTTTAAAGCTGGGAATTCATGTAGTCCAGTGCTGAAGGCGTTCATCTTACATTTGATGATTGATAGGAGTAAGTCGTATCTCAAACATTCAAGGAATTTGTCTCAAGATTTTTTCAGAAGACTTTGCATTTTATCAGCAATTTTGCGTATATTCTAAGTCAACAAAACTATGCTCTGGCAAGAAATCAATCCCTATGTCGCTGAAGTCAGAGTTAAAGGTAAATTCTACTGGTACATCAATGGTGAAATTTGTTCAGCCTTTAAGAGCACAAGTTTCTGACAATTTTTCAAAAATTAATATCATCAGTTAAACTGAGTAAAAATTATAATTCAATAAACCCACTCCTCTCCCCCCCACCCACTTATCTCCAAATAATTAAATAAAAAAGGGTATAAAGAAATCAAATAAAGTGAAAGAGAAATTAAACACGTAAACTGTCATGGAAATTATGGTTTAGAAAACCCCTCCTCAGCGAGTGAAAAGCAACAAGTAAGTAGAAAAAGCATCAAAGATAGGACTTCAGGTGAACATAGAGAAAACAGAGGTAGGTGATGAAGATTCCTGGCCAACACCAACAGCAACAACAACAACAGACAACCATCAGCACAAATTGAAGGAACCTGGAAGAAACTACCTCCTTTACCTACCTGGGGAGCATCGTTTCAACTACAGGCGGACCTGACGAGGATATCAAAGCGAGGATCATCAGGAAAGCAAGACAAGCTTTCACTACTCTCAAGTCTGTGTGGAGATCAACAGCACTCAGCATCAAAAATAAGATCCGGATTTTCAACTCCAATGTCAAGTCAGTGCTACTATACGGATCAGAGACTTTACGCGTCATAAATAGCGCCTCAAACAAACTACAGACCTTCATCAACAGCTGTCTTCGCTCAGTACCACTCAAGATTAGGTGGCCGGCCAGAAAAGATCAGCAACAGGGATCTCTGGGAGCGAACCAACCAGGAACCGATTGTGAAACAAATAGGCAGGAAGAAATGGAGGTGGATTGGCCATACTCTGAGAAAACCATCAAGTGACATCACTCGTCATACCAGCGCTCGAGTGGAACCCGAATGGGAAGCAGCAAGTTGGTCATCCAAGGGTGACTTGGGGGAGGTCATATGAAGAGGAAATGATGAAAGCATGTGGGGAGACGTGAGACCAGGTGAAAACTTTAGCAGGGAACCGAACTCAACGGAGACGTGCAGCTGAAGCCCTATGTTCCTCTATGAATTAAAGGAAACAATAATAATAACTTTATTCCAAACACTACTTTTAGTACAAATACGGAATTTTCAGCAGCATGTAATACAATAGTGCAGCTAATTTCCTCATAAAGTGGCAATAATTACAATAGGGCATTTACATGAATAATATTGTTCAATAAGAAATAAATATAAAGCTAAATCAAGTGAAAATATTAACGACAATGTAACAATGAGAACAAAAACTTGGGGCCGTTTACTTAGAGTTCCCCACTAAGTTGGTAACTTCCTATCTTACACTTTTCTCATCGCATAAAATGTGTGCACCTGCTAAATAAGGTATCGTAGAGTTTTTGTACTTAGTCGTCCGAGCATGCAGTCTTCTATAGTTGCTTCTAATTCTAACTGATGAGATAGATGCAAGAAGAGAGAATGACAAGATACTATGTTCTAATTTCTTGCAGCAGTCTATATGTCTATCTACACTAGTATTAACAAATTGGTTTAACAACACCCCATTAGCCCTACTGACAGCTTTCAGTGCCCTACGCAGTATAACAAAGTCTTTCTTAAGTAGCCTAGGAAAGATTAAGGTGGGGGAACAGTAAAGAAGTATAAGCAGAATATAAGAATTAACAAAAGGTAACAGTAGAGACGCAATGATACCAGATCGTCTTAACTTCCTTACACACAGAACGTCAAACAAAACATCTTTCTGGGAACTAACATGATGTGGGGGGGGGGGAGAGAAGACCAAGAAAGATGATCAGAGGAAATAGACGGTCCAAGGTACTTAACTTAAGGTACATTCAATTTCGTTTCAACTTCATTGCCATCTGTGATAGTAGAACCGTGAGAACTAACCAGTTCATCACGTAAGTCACGCTTGCGTCTGAGAGTGAAATTAACCACCTGACATTTGAATCGATTAAACTTAAGACCATTTGACGAGAACCATTGACTAATTTCTGATAAAAAAGTTATTCATTTTGGAACAGTCTGACTGGGAAGTAACCATTGGCATAGAAACAGTCAGATCATCAACATACTTAACCAAAATTGGCTTCACACCAGACTGGGGCAAGTCATGTAAGAAGAAGGGAAACAGAAAAGGAGAAAGACTATCTCCCTGAGGAACACCAGCTAGAGTAAGTAAAGCAGCGGAGGACTTCCCATTATAAACAGTATACCGCTTCCTATCAGAAAAAATAAAAGTGCAACCACTTAGTAATCCAGTACTGTGCTTGTAACTCAGTAAGCTTGTTTAACAAAAGAGGCCTAGATACAGAGTTGAAGACAGATGTGTAATCCAGGAAGGCACACAGAACATATTTGGCACTTCTATCTAAATTAGAGACAATGTTATGATGTAAGACAACAGTGGCATCTAAAGTACTGTTTTTATAAGCAAAGTGATTAGGGTTGTTAAAAGCCTTCAATAAAGGTTCAAGGTTAAATAAAAGCAGTCTTTCCATTAATTTTAAAAAAGGTGAAGTAATGGCAATAGGTCTAAACTCAACAGTTGGTCCACTTGACGATTTAGGCACAGGAACAAATTTAATGTCCTTTCAAGAAACAGGCACAGTGTTACTGGAAAATGATTCATTGATAATACCAGTGAGGGGATGACATAAAATGTCAGCAAATTTATTGAGGATAAAAGGTGGTAACACCATCTGGACCGAGGGACTGGGTAATTTTTATTATTATTATTATTATCATTATTTGGATGTTTCAGCTAAATTCGGAATTATTATGCGTTTTTTTCCTACACTGTATATCATTGTCCTCACATTTACGTACCATATGTTGACTTGATCCTTATTAATTGTCATTCTTCCTGTTTAATCTCTAATTTTAATGCTTCCCTTTGCCGCTGTGCGTTACTTTGAGAATCATCCATGAACAATGAATAAAAAGATGACGAGAATTCACTTTTTCTACTTTTTTTATTTCAATGGACCAAAATTGAAGCTTAGAAAGAGAAAAGCTTGCCAAAATTTAGCCTGATGAAGAAGCCATATATTCGTCTATGATGAATGCTCGAAGACGTCTTTATCACTATGACTTGCCACATTTTTGTTTAACAGTTGCAAGAGTCAAACTAGCCGATTTCTAGTGACATCACAGGTGGCGTTAAAAATGTCTAGAATTGGATGACAAGGAAGTCCTGGTTTGTGTCATTCAGGCATACCGGACAGTCGTAACGAATAACTTCCAGTAGGTTTAGAGGAGCTGTAGGCTGCCTTAGAGACTACTCCGCTTTCCACAGTTCTTTGAGAAGGTTTATTCAGCTGCTTTTCATCCTTTCCGTCTAAACTTTGTGAAATTTCGTTTCATCGCCTGAAACGAATTCGCTTTGTCACCATACATGTTCTTCAATACTACACTACTGCCTTGCTCTGAGCGTCGGAGGCACAGCGGTAGGATGCTCACCAACTACTCATGTGGTTCGGGGTTCGATCCCCGGCCACACAGACGCACTCTGTTACCTCACTAAGCCAGTAAGTAATAAGACTGGTAAGGAAGGAAGGTTGCGAGTGAGGCTAGCAACCCCATCTCATAAAAATAAACACCACTGGTACCGAAACTTCAAACCTCTAGCTTGAAGGCGCCCTATGTTCCAATGAGAACGTAAAGGAATAAAAAAATAAAAATAAATAATAGCAGAGACATTAGTGTGCTGCAAACTTTTTTAAGAATCTCATGGAGCCTCAATCAACGCTTACAAAGATACAACACACACACACACACACACACACACAGTAAGATAAAAACTCACTTCAGCATAACGTTGACAGTAGAGATGATTCGAGGGATTTGATAGAATCATTTCTTCCAAACAAAATGCAGCGTGTTTGTAATCACCTTCCGAAAGATAAAGATCCGCCAACTCATTCCATGCTTCGAAATCGCTCATAAATCTATAAGGATCATGATCAAGCAGATTGATTTGATTAGCAATATATAAAATCTCTTCCTAACATTTTTAACTATACATTAATGACTACTAACAGAGATTTAAGTAATCTCATTAATTTAAACATTAAAATAAACACGATTTAAGGATAGATGCATGCGGATTTTCACTAACAAACGCTTCAGTTGGATGGACAGTTGATAATCATTATATGAACAATTTTCAAGAAGTATTTGGGAAGTTGACACAACTGTCTTCAACGTTACATACAGCTGTATTATCACTGATTACTATTGTTATTATTCCCTTGGGTTCCAAATGGAATATAAGGGGCTTCACGACATTACATCCTTATTTCCCTTTATTCGATGCAGTCTTTTTTGGGGACTGTCTCCACAATTGCCTATAGGCTTTCACATAATCTACTCTTTCTCATAGCACATGTCCAAACCACCGAAGCCAGTGTTTCCAGATGACGACATTCAATGAATGCTGATCTATACACTGCTGGACTTCGAAATTACTCACACGATGATGCGATCGAAAGCAAGTAGTTCTGCAGAGACAGAGATGATCAAATACGCAGAGTCACCTCACATCCTCAGCTCGAAGAGGTCAAGTTTCTCAGGTGTAGAGCAAGACGGCGTGCGCCGAGGCAGTATAAAACCGGCCTCGAAAGCCAGGCTGATGATATCGCGACGGCGCCAGAGGTGGCTCAAATTGGCGTATGCCACTCTAGCTTTCTGTACACGGTAAGAGATCTCATCTGGCACACATAACAGTAACAAACCACCGAAGTTATCAAAAGCTCCAAGGTGAGGAAAGGCTTTATACAATCAGGTTGGTAAACTAGTTGATGACATCATGAATTATATGAACTTCGTTTCAGTCGCCAGTAAAGATTAACAGAGTGGTTGATTTAGAAAAACAAGTGAAATGGGCACACTCAAGGTTTAAAGAAATGACCTCCATGTATAGGAACTGGACAAAGTTAAACCTTAGACATCCAACAGGCGCGAATGCACCAATAGCCATAGGTTGATCGGTCATAGCAAGGCAGAGAAATCAAATGAATAACACTATATTCATGAGAAAGAGTGTTGAATGAAGTGTTATGATGTTAAACAGGATATCTGGTTAACATTAAGTTCGGCTTATGCTAGTGACAGGTTCGACTTAGGTTAAGCATAAATAACGGTTAGGAGCCCGAGGTTGCTTTGTTAAGAGCAATTGCTGGTTCCCAGGTCACTGATGCGTCCGCTCCCCTCTTAGGTGTCTAAAACTGGACTGTATCAGAAAGTGGTTTGATACGTCATTAGTATCCTGTATGCGGATGTGGGGGTGTTTTTGCAGCACATAAGAGACATATATTCTCAGTAAATTATGTTTTTAATTATATATCTCCTGGAAATAAAATTTTCTACACAATAAATGCCACTTTTTCAATAAGACAATTTCGATCGTTTGTCCACGGTTACTTCGTTGAACCCCAAGAGAAGTCCTTACATATGTGGAGGACGAGATTTGTAAGTAGTATATATAAATATATATACAAATTGACAGGAAGCACCCAGAATTGAAATCAACAAATCAAGTCAATAGTTGCAGAGGTAGGGGTGTTTATTCCTGAAATCTGAATCTAGTTCAAGGTTGTGGAAATGAGATAACCCCATTGGACAACTTTTCGTCTCATTATTTAACATTGGACCAATAGCCAACCAATCAGGACAAGCTATTATCTGCTGACCTAGCCGACATTTTATGCGGTCAAAAATGTATAAATATGGTGTTTTCCCCTAAAATAAAGAGGTTCGTTACCGATTCTCCTATCTTCTGTTGCTACGCATGTATTTACGACATAGTGAGTGATATAAAAACTTACATTTTTAAATATTCCCTCAGCTCATTAATTGCTTCAGGTATTCTTTGTTGGGCTTTTAAAATTGTAATCATTCGTTTACGCGCCAACTATTGATGAGGGGGAAAAAATGAATATAATCATACAAAGATGAATTTTTCAAAAAGGTAACAAAGAAAGTAGTAAACAGATTTTATAAATACACGATCTGATAGCAGTCAGTTGAATCAGCCCCAAGGGATTGATGCACAAGGCGCGTTTGGCATATACCCGCCAAATTACGCCATCTCTGGCTTAGTAGACGTGATATCCGGCTGGCTGCCAACTAAAGGGTGTGTATACTGCTCAGCAGTTCGCTCCGTCTACCTCTTTATGGCTGTGAACGAAACATGGCCATTAGAAGCGGAAGATACGAAAATACTAGCTATCTTTGGTCATAGGTGTCTGCTTTTTGTCTACCATGTTGGGTGGTATAATAGAGTGAGCAATATTGAGGTTAGGCATCGGTCGAGTGAATGCTAGGTAAGGAGGGGAAATCAATCGATGAGGTTGTGAAGTTACATCGACTGAGATGGTTAGGACATGTGCTACGCCTGCCTGTCTAGGCATCACCTTCCTGGACGACAGACAATGTTAGCTGACATAGGATGGATCAGGTTGGAAAAGAGCTGATAGTGGTGATCAAACGAAAACATGGTTTCGTCAGTCAATGTAATCCACAACAGTTAGTTTAAGCCACGTCGGGACGTGCAGATGTTCTGATCAGTGTCCTCGGGATGGTAAAAACCAATGACGACTGGAGACAATTGCTGATATGGTTGGCTCAAAATCGTCATTGTCAATGGCTGGCGCAGATGTGGTCACTCTTTGTGATTGATCATATCCAATAAAACTCTATTGTTCTGCCATATTACTATTTTTCCTCATATTACAGTTAGTTATCTCTCTCTCTTTAGAATCTCCACTCTCTTCTCTTGCTTTTTGTGGTACATGGAGTGTGGTAACTCGAACTGCTGCACACCTGTGCAAAGTTCTATGTTAAAGCCAGTCAGTCAGTCGATCAGTGACAACTCCAAACCGCATAACTCTTTTCTGTATATCAACTTAGAAAATAATCAGTTAAACCAAAGTTGTTAATCGTTCTGATAGTGAGGATACAATATAATTGAGTTTCATCACACAAACTGTGCAAAGAAGCGGGCCACTTTAAGTTGCCACACTCCATAAATCACACAAACTATAAGCAGAAAATTGAGAAAGGATAGCATTTCATGGATATGGCACATCCACAAAGGATGAATGTATCTGAGCTATTGACAACGATTGTGAGCCATATCATCGATTGTTTCTAGTCATCAGTTCTTAGTATACAGACGACCCGAATAAGGAAGTCTACACCTCCCTATGTTCGTTCGACGTCAGCATAACTCACCTGATTAAACCACCCACCACGAGAGAAAGAAAGCAGACACCTTTGTTCAAAGACAGCTAGCCAGCCTTTTCACATCTTCCACTTACAATGGCCATGTCTCGCTCACAGCCATAAAGGAGGACGGAGAGAACCGCTGAGCAGCATACGCAGCCTTTGGTCGACAACCAGTCGGATATCACGTCCACTAGGCCAGAGATGGCGTAAATTGGCAAATGCCATGCCAGCCTTTTGTATCTCCGATGAGATGTCAGCAGAAATCAGTCCGTTGGGGCTGATGTAACTCCCTATATAATTGAAGTGATCACAACTCGCTCCAGTATTTCACTTCCTATGTTTAAGCTGGGATGTCCAAACCTCGGTAAATGTAGCTAGGTCCAAACTCTGTAATCAGGATACACATTTATGCTGTTTCTTAGTTTCATCAACTAGCAATGAGTAATAACGTTACAGGTATACCGTGTATCCCTTGATGAGATATTGATGAAATGATCTTGGTTATTTGGTAGATGGTGACTATAGCAGTGGAATCTATTTTGAACTCAGTATCTGTTGGGCGTGCCTGCAATCTCTATAGAGTGATGGTGTTCCCACAGAGTCTCGAACCTATCACCCATGTTGAAATATCAACAGAGACCCAACACTTCGATGCACCATAATCAATTAACGCGAAATATGGTGCGTCGGTGGTGTCCATTAGTAAAACACTTGCCAACCACGCACGCGTCCGGGGTTCGATTCCCGACCGACTTACTACTGAATCTCGCCTATCCGGTAGTAAGCCCACTGAAGAGGGGAGGTTGGGCGTAAGACCAGCAACCGCACTCCCTAGAAGATACCACTACTGCTAATGAAACTGCAAGGCTCAAGCTCGAACTCCTATGTTCCACTTTGGACGCAAAGGAATAAAAAACGAGAAATATGAAAATAAACTTAAACAAGGTAGCTACTGTGGCCTAGTGGCGTTTGAAACGACAGGTGCTCTCTACAAGTCTCTATCGAAACGCCATCACCCACTCACTCACTGGGGATTGTAGGTGACAATGAGTCTCAAAATAAGATGAAATGTGCTTCCAAGCTGGATTCCGCAGCAAGTTACCACCACCAATGAAAAGAACTTCATGTTATTAATTCTTAGACAACATCACCGAATAGAGTTCATACTAGGAGACAGTATGTGTCAACAGCAGCCGAACACTTTGATGCAATATAATCAAATAACGGGGAATATAAAAATTAAAGGGCGTTGCATTGATTTAGGGCATATTACGAGCAAACAGACATGATCTATTGAAGACTAGGTGAAAAAAAATATTACGCTATTATTATCATTATTACTATTTAGAGCGGATTTGATGTATCTCAGGTGCTTCTAAATGTCAAACCTTAAAAATTAGAAAAAACGATCTAGATTAAAGAATGCAAGGAATATACATACAGTAGTATATAATGTGTACCTTTTTGTAAAACTGTAAGCATTGGTAATCTGTCTAAGTGATATATGACAAGATAATGGCATTCTGGTTAGCCTACGCTTGATAAGAAACACACTCATAGCATGATTTATTCAAAGTATGCAAAAGCTAGTTTTCTTAGTGAAATTAACTGTATAACACCACCAATATGGATAGGATTAGAGCACAAAACTATTGATCATCACGTCATCAGTTAATATTACTGTATAACACTACACTGTGTGTGTGATTTTATCAAAATAAAATCTTATCCATAATGGAGTTATACTCACTCTACCACAGTGCCCAAGTTTTATACTTCTTATATCAATAACTGTATAACATTTTTTTCTCTAACGTATAAACACTAGAAATTATTTCTTTGCTCTTGAAGAGAATTTTAGGAAATGAAATTATAACTAACACTAATAAAGAGTGATAGTCCACTTCATAACCATTAAGTTCCACCTCCTACGGCCTTCTCGCCGAAAAGTTTTCTATTCAGAATGCAATTAATCATGAGACCCAATAGTACTTGAGAGTTACGTGCGTCGGTAGTAAGATGCTCGCCAACTACTCACTCACTCACGTGATCCGGGTTCGATTTCCGGGTGGCACACACACTCTTAAACCTCGTTTAACCGGTAGTTATGGCCAGTGAAAAGGGAACGTTGGACGTGAGGCTGGCAGCCTCATTTGGTAGAAAGACAATACCAGTGTTACTGAAGCTTCAAGATGCACGCTTAAAGCCCTATGTTCCACTAGGAACGCAAGAGGGATGAGAAAATAAAATTAATACTTGAACTAGGGAAAACAGAGCTGTTCTGTGCATCCCAGATTTTAGTTATTTCATACATACACTTAAGTTTTGTTGGTGTGTTAAACTGTCACAGTTTTTTAAGGAATAAACATAACTTTCAAAATAAAAATGTTCGGTATTTGAAGTTATTTACTAGGAATACGTATTTTTTCCATGTAACGGGCTATTTGTGTGTGTGTGGGGGGGGGAGATCTGATGATACTACCCAGTTGCCCAGGTGGAAACAGATGGAAAAGGATTTGAATCTGGGACTCACTGGCTGGCAGCCGAATGTTTAAATTAATTAGCTACATTTCTATCCTAAATACAGTATGAATCTTACTGTACTAAACTATGATTAATAATGGTGAGCAATATTGACGTCAGGTGGGGAGTGTTAGGTAGAGAGGGTAAGCCAATATATCAGTTTGTGAAAATAAATCGATTGAGATAGCCAGGAAAAGTGTTTCGCATGTCGAACAACCACGACCAAGTTCAACAATAGCGTCCCAAGGAAGGAAAACGCACGAGTGACCTTCAGCCGAACAATCATAAAAATGAAGAATTTTTGCACAAAAAACGACGCATATTTACAAGAAAATGCATGAAAATACATTAAACATGGTATCTTTCTCTGACATGGCTTAGAAATACGTCCCACTTATAATGAGGAGTATCAGTTGCTAAGTCAGACAAGTTTCTGTACATGTATTCACCAAGGTGACTGAAGATGAGCTGTTTTTGTGAATCGTTTATCTCTCTTCTCCTGTTGTGAAGTATTCCCCGAAAGCCCTCGGTAGAATTACTATGGTTTGCAGTAAGAGGATCGACGACCACTCACCAGGAAAATATGGATAATAAAACAAATTAAAATAAATGAAATCAACTCTAAATCTATCCCTAATCGTAACCTTAACCATAGACTTAACACTAACCCTAATTCCAACCCTAACGAGCTATTAACACATTGTCCGAACAGTACTTAAAAACGTGATCTGGGTGAAATTTGCATCTTAGTTGGTGAATAGCATTGATATTTAGCCAAGGACTAGCACGCGTTCAAGGTCATTGGAGCGTTCGCACTCCTGGGACGCTATTGCTGAACTTCGCCACAACCACCTTCCTGGACGAGTAATGTTAACTGACATTTGGTGGGATTAGAAAAGAGTAAGAAGTGGTCAAACCAAGACCTGTCATCATCAGTCTATGAAGTCGTTGACAATTGGTTCGAGCCATCCACGTAGGAAGGTGTAGACTGCTTGGTTAGGGTCCTTGGGATTCTAAGAACCAATGCCTCAGATGAATCCAGTGGCCTACCAGATTCATTAAACCTTCTTATTTTTCCGTATTACTATACTTTCAGCCTCCTATTTCTGCATATTATCGACCTTTTGAATCTCATCTACTTCTCGTTTGACTCCAACCTTTCTGTGCTCCAGAGAGTGTGGAAACTTGAACTGCTGCAATTCTGTGCTATGTTCCCTGCGGTGAATGACAGTTATTCTGTATGCATGTGTACATGAAGTTTGTGAAACAAAAATACAATTGCTTATGGTTATTTTAACTAGACAGGTGAAAATTAGTAAGTTTTGGGTGGAGTTACATAATACAAATCGGTCAAGAAAATTAGGTGTTGATGAAATTAGAGTAGTAACAAAGGTGATGAATTGTCACAAACAGTTGTTAAAAAGAAGTTACGTAATAATATGAATAGTTTGATGACTGAGTTTTACTCAGGATGCACATAGGAACAAAGTAGAGAATACGAAATTACTTAAGAATTCTATGTGCATATATCAGTTCACATGCTGCTGTGGAGCCAGTTTCATCGGCCGCTCGATGCGCAGCCCGTCCAAGAGGATTAAAGAACACTATCCAGTATGGTTGCGAAAAGGCAATAGTGGTGCAATAAGGAGTGTGATAATTGAACGCCTGGTTAACACTGATCATTCCATCTCAACAAACGCCTCCTGCTTCAAAGTAATCTACAGAGTCAAGAATAACCTACCAAAGGCAATACGATTTCGTCTTCTTTGTATCGCAGACGTTTTGGCCATTTACACAGAAAAACCGGAGTTGTGCATACAAAAGAGAATTACTCAACCACTTCTACTACCACGGTATTCTCTACTTTGTTCCTGTGTGTATACTGGGTAAAACTCAATCATCAAACTATTCATATTATTACATAACTTCTTTTTGACAACTGTTTGTGACAACTCATCACCTTTGTTACTACCCTAATTTCATAAACACCCAATTTTCTTGACTAATTTTGTATTACCTAACTCCAATTACCAATCTTCACCTGTTTAGTTAAAATAACCATAACCAATTGTCTTTATGTTTCACAAAATTAATGTACACATGCATACAAAATAACTCATACATCAATATATTTGCGATTGTACAGTCAGGAAAATGAATTCTTCGCCGAAAAGAGACTCCTCACTGAACTACGTGTTTCGTTTTCATATACCTTAATGCAGCAAACCGTGTCATCATTACAGTACTTAAATTGTTAACGCTGGGTTCGGTTGGTGGGTCACGCACTCCTACAACTCGGTTAGCCGGCGATAAGCTCGATGAAGGGGTGAGAGTTTAGCTTGAGGCTAACAACCCTACCGCTTTAAAAATAGACACCACAGCCATTGAAATTTCGAAGCTCAAGCTGGAAGCTCTTTGTTCCACTCAGAATTAATAATAATAATAGTTATGTGTTCGTACACAGAAATTAAGTAAACGATAAAAGATAATACTTACTGTATTCGTTGGATCGTCCTTTATTAGTTTAGCATATATAGTTTGAGCATCTTCAAAGCTGTAACAATAAGAATACATATAATACAATTAAAGCCTACACATATACGTTTAAATCATAAAAAGCTTTCTATTACACAATAAAAGCTGAAGGCTATGTGACAAATGCACGCATTAAAAAAATATAGCTTTGCTATAGGCTGACAGTTGGTTTGACGTTCTCTGACTAATTGACACTGGGATTATAAACGTCTCGCTTCATCAACGTTAACTTCATAAAGAATAGCATATAGCTAGTGAAGGTCTTTAACAGGTAAAACAGATAAAAATGGGATCATTCTTATTATTATTGTTTCCTTTAATTCCTAGAGGAAAATAGGGCTTCAGCTGCGCGTCTCCATTGCGTTCGGTTCTCTGCTACAGTCTTCACCTGGCTCCAAGTCTGCCCACACGTTTTCATCTCCTCCAAGTCACCCTTGGACGACCAACTCGCCGCTTCCCTTTCGGGTTCCACTTAAGGGCTTGTCTAGTGATGTCACTTGATGGTTTCCTCAGAGTATGGCCAACCCATCTCCATTTCTTCCTGCCTATTTGTTTCACAATTGGTTCCTAGTCGGTTCGCTCCCAGAGATCTCTTTTGCTGACCTTTCCTGGCTGGCCATCTGATCTTGAGTATTGAGCAAAGACAAATATTAATGAAGGTCTGTAGTTTGTTTGAGATGCTCTTTATGACGCGCAGTGCAAGTCTCTGATCCGTATAGTGAGTAGCACTGACTTCACATTGGAGTTGGAAATCCGGATCTTATTTTTGATACTGAGTGCTGTTGAACTCCACACAGACTTGAGAGTAGTGAAAGCTTGTCTTGCTTTTCCTATTCTTGCTTTGATATCCTCGTCAGTTCCGCCTGTAGTTGAAACGATGCTTCCCAGGTAGGTAAAAGAGGTTGTTTCTTTCAGGTTCCTCCCATTTATGCTGACTGTTGTCTGTTGTTGTTGCTCTTGTCCATGAATCTTCATTACCTCTGTTTTCTCTATGTTCACCTGAAGTCCTATCTTTGGTGCTTCTTCTATGGCCAACTTGTTGCTTTTAGCTTGCATATCTTCCAGTTTGTGGGAAATCAGACATACATCATCGACGAAGTCCAGATCCTCCAAGTATTTTGTGTGAGTCCATTTTATGCCTGTTTCCTCATTGCCCGCTGTTTGTCGCATTATCCAGTCTACTGCAATCAGGAAAATGATTGGCGATAGTAGGCAGCCTTGTCGTACTCCTGCCCTCACTTTGAAGGATTCCGTAAGTTTCCCGATAAAAAAATGGGAATGGATAAAAATGGGAATTAGTGTTTTAATCTATTCAGAATGGCACGATATAAAGTCTAAATGCCCGCAGTTTTAAAAGAATTGTATAGCTAAGACAGAGAGAGATAAGCTAGGTAGCTGTACCATTTGGTATAGTGAAGAGATAAGTTGGGCTATTTCTGAACGAGTAGTTACAGGTTCGAGCACAAGTGTGCATAAACAGTAAAAGAAAGCACGGCTAAACTGAACAAAATCGGAAAGACTAAATCTAATGAATCGCAAATAGGACAAAAAACATCGTCATAACAAAGGCTGACAAGGGAAACTCGACAGCTGTTATGGTGAAATCCGACCAGATCAAGAAAGTCACTGAACACATTACAACAGGTCCATAAGAGGAAATTAAGAAGCCTGTAGATATTATAATAATAATAATAATAATAATAATAATAATAATAATAATAATAATGACTAGGAAATCTACAGCATATTTAATACGCAGAACAAAGGCGTGTCTCTGGTCAGAATATTGTGTGAGTACGTTGGTATGATTATGAGCAATAAATTGTGCCCAAATTGTATTCTTATATCACAGTAGTTACAGGCTTTACAATACCATAACAATAAACTATAACACGATTATAAATTGCAACGACTGCGAAAAGCACTATATTGGCCAAAGTGGACGCCCTCTACGTATTCTTCGTATCCATAAACACAAACTAGCCGTCAATAGACATGATATCCACTCCTTCACATCGCTTCGCATAAAAGCAACCATGGACATCAATTCGACTAGAACAAAGTTCAAATATTAGGAAGAGGAAACACCAAGAACGCCAGAGGAGTTTTGGAAGCCTGGTGTTCCAGTGAACCGTCAATTAATTAACAGGCACATTGACATAGAATAAAATTTACCAATCCATGAGAGGAAAATCTCATGCACAAAAAGTCAAACTTCAGGTCAAGGAAACAATCAGTACCAATACAAATACACTAGAGGGTATGAAGACAGACAAGAGTAACCAATCACGTTCAAGGTCAACGGGAGGGATGACTAATAAACTAGTGGAGAAATTTAAAAGCTCACTTCAAATTGAAATATGCGCTGAAGATGTTGCCTGGTAGGGCAGTGAAAACTTCACAAGTAAACCACCCAGTTCAGAGAACACAACACAATGAGAAGACAGGGATATCCTGGACCGACGTGAAGAACCTAGAAGACCTGGATTTCGCGCGTGGATGATTTATGTTTGATGTCACACAAAATCGAAGACTTACAAGCGAAAACCGACAAACTGGTCGAAGAAGCAGCAAAGACAGGACTCCAGGTGAACATAAACAAGACGGAGGTCATGAAAATAACCAACCAACAACAGCAGCAACATCCAGTGCCAATCACCATCAACGGGAGAGATTTGAAAGAGGTTACTTCATTCACTTTTTTAGGGAGCACTATCTAAACTACAGGAGGAACGGACGAGGATGTCAAATCGAGAATCGGGAAGGCGAGAAACACATTCATCAACTTGAAACCAATCTGGAAATCTTCGTCACTCAGCCTGCATCAACAACAAAATTCGGATTTCCAATACAAACGTCAAGTCAGTTTTGCTATATGGATCAAAAACTTGGTGGATCACAAAGAATATTTCCAACAGCCTGTTGCAGACCTTTATCAACAACTGTCTTCATTCTATACTGAAGATCAGATGGCCGGAAAGAATCACCAACAAGAAACTATGGGAGCAAACAAAACAAGAACCAATCGCTCAACAAATATGCAGGAGAAAGAAGTGGAGATGGATTGGACACTCGCTGAGGAGGCCGCTGGGTGGCATCACGCGTCAGGCCCTCAAGTGGGACCCGAAAGGGAAGTGGCGAGTGGGACATCCAAGGGTGACATGGAGGAGATCGTGTGAAGAGGAGTTGAAACAGTATGGACCAACATTGATGGATTCAGGTGAAAAGTACATCAGAAGACAGAAGCAAGTGGAGACGTGCATAGTTGAAGCCCTATGTTCCACTAGGAACCCAAGGGAACAATAATAATAATAGTAACAGATCCCATCCGATCAACTGACAATGAGTGCATAAGGCAATACTCCACCATGGCGTAGACAAGAATATATTTCTCCTCTTACCCATCCAGATGCACCGTCAGAAGTAACTGTGAAAATACCGGTGGAGGCATGACACACACACACACACAGGAATCCAAACTATCAATAATGTCATCGTTATCGCTGTTGTGCTAGTCTGGCATCAAAAGATCTGGTTAAAGATGCTTCTGTGAAACATGGCATCTCTTAGCTAAGGATGCCCGACGACAATGTGGTCCTAATCATTGCTGTCTTCTCTGTAGGACTGCTCGCATCCGACAACAACACTAATAAAATCATTTTTGGGTATAGCAATATGCCTTTAGTCTTCTGACTGGTTGAAAGAAGCGATGGGATGATTAGCACTTTGGAATGGATAGATGGATAGATAGGTAGATGGAAAACAGCTTAAGCAACGATACTAACTGATGTTGAAATATTAATAAAATACAAAAATATGAGCATTAGTGTATTCTTTGCGTGTACTTACTTGCCTTTACTTTCCAGATACATACCGAACAGGCGGTTAACACGGGAGCTATTTCGAAATTTCGCCAATAAGTGATCAAGACATTCCTACAAAAGTGAATAATACATCTTTTTTTTTCTTTTTTTTAAATTTCAAGTGAATTCATATTAGTTTTTAAATAAAAGCATGAAAAAGAAATATTATTGAATAGTAGCTATTCTGCAGCAGAATTTCGGTATTTTTTGTGTGTGTAAAGTATAAACTACCAGAATTGGACTAGAGGAAATTGACTTGACCTGACTGAATCGTGTCAATTTGTGACAGACTATCAAACAACAATAATCTACCGACATAATACTATACAGCTAGGATGAAAAGAAATCCAGATATTCAGAAGGCTTTCAGTAAAAGGTATGCAGATTGTTAAATACTGCAAAATATTAGCGATATATACTGGAACTTAGAAAACAGAAAGATTGAGCGAAGAAATATTCGCTTTTCAATTAGATCCTCATCCCTCTCTGACTCTACTCTGATACATATATAACATTTTTTTTATTACAATACACAACAATTTACCAATCAAGTGGCACTGATATGTTTGTTAACAATAACTAGTCAGTATCAACATGCTATGGGGTTTGATGATTACCAAGATAGATAATTCAAACAATAACAACAATGATAACATGTAATTATAGATGAAGTAGTTAGAAAAATAATTTGGACAATTATAATTCTTGAAGGTTCAGGGGGAGGGGAGCAAAGTAGTCCGGTTTATATACTCATGTAAGGAAAGTGGCTGTACACATTTCTTCTGAACACACAGGTTTGGCTTCTTCAGCTGAAGCAATAGGAACCCACCTTGGCCATCGTTACATGAGTGTATTAATCGGACAACTTCGCTCCCCTCCCCCTAAACCTTTAAAAATTATAAAATTATAATTCTCCAAATTATTTTATTCTTATGACCACTTCATCCTTAGTTACAAGTTATTATTGTCCAAATCGTTTTATTTTCTTTAACAATCTGTTTAGCAATCAACCTGTACACACGCTTATTCTAAAATTACTCTTCATTTTTCCAAAATTATGCATTGTTTAATCCATGTATTGTAACCATGTCCACCTTTCAATTGTGTGTATTAATTTTCTTCGTTAATTATCACCCCACTGGCACATTGACGCTGACTAATTATTGTTAATAAACATATCGCCACTTGATTGGTGAATTGTTGTGTATTGTAATAAAAATGCTATATATATTAGAGTGTATCGGTGGTAGAACCAACCATTCACGTGGTTCGGGGTTTGATACCCGGCCACAGACGCACTCCGTTACCTCGCTAAGCCAGCAATATGACTGGTAAAGAGGGAAGGTTGGGAGTGAGGCTAGCAACCTCATCCCGTAAAACTGAACACCACTGGTACCGAAACTTCAAGCGCCTAGCTTGAAGCCCTATGTCCACGAGGAATGTAAGGAATAACAAATACATATATTATAGTGGAGCCAGAGATGAAGATCTAATTGAAAAGTAAATATTTCTTCGCCCAATTCTTCTGTTTTCTAAATGTCTAAATGGGGACTTTTTTTCCAATATACTGGAATGCCTAAAGATGAAATAATGGTTAAGATTACCAGTTGCCGTCACCTCGATATATTCAACATCTTTTCAGCATTCAACTGTTGTCTGTACAAGTGATTATTATGACGGGAAGTAAATTAAAATGAAGGCGAGTATTTAGATTAAAGTAGATTTTGAACCAGGAGCCTTCTTACTTAATAGTTGGATACTCTGTGGATCAAGGTACCGAATACAGTTGAATCAGGATATCCAAGTGTCTTTAACCAAGAAGTCAGAAAGCAATGCATTCACCAAGTCATGACTGTCTCGAATACTCCTGACGATTGATGTATATTCATTAGAGTGAAATCAATCATTAGTTATCGAGTGTTGGTTTGCAGTGATTTGATTGGTTACACGTTTGGTCACGAGTTGACATCAGTTAGAGAACCACTGGAAAACCTGGGAGTACTGGGGCAGCTGTTTCATCATAGTTTGGGACTCTCCAACAGTACGCATCCACCGGGGTTCAAACCCAGGAGCTTCCGGTTACCAAGCGAGCCTATTCGCGATATATATATATATATATATATATATATATATATATATAGCACAACCGCCAGCCAATGTCATAGGCGAATAAATGTTTCCTTGCCCGACTTGATGGATCCCGCTGCTTACCACTTCGCGGTAGAACACCAGGTAACTTCCTGTATATAGCCACTCACTAGTGAGCATCAGATTAATTATCAAGCGCTGATTTCCGGGGATTTGATCAAACCTGTATTAAATCAACTGTTAAGCAATTTGTTGCAACTCAGTTATCCCGTGCAAATTTTTCATACACTGGGCTATAGCGTGAGAGATGATAAGAAATTCAGCAAAGATATCTTTTCGGCGATTTCATTTTCGAAAGTTGTACAATCGCATTTAAATACATAATTTTACATGGAGACAATTCTTGTTTGATTCTACATAATTATGACGGCGAATAAAAGGTGATAATTATTTCCAACTAGATATGGTTTTACGAGAGGCTTAGAAACAAAATTATACAGGGTTACAACGAATTACAGGTGTATAGAAGATGAGCATGGAAACAAAATTGAAATAATAATTTTCAACTTGAGATGGGAGTTAGGATGTGTGAATGTAGATTACAAGATTCCATGCTCACTTTCTGCACACCTGTAATTTGCTAAATGTAATTTTTTTTCTAAGGCTCTTGTAATCTATTTTTACGCCTCCTAACTCCCATCTCAAGTTGAAAATTATTATTTCAATTTTGTTTCCATGCTCATCTTCTATACACCTGTAATTCGTTGTAACCCTGTATAATTTTGTTTCTAAGCCTCTCGTAAAACCATATCTAGTTGGAAATAATTATCACCTTTTATTCGCCGTCATAATTATGTAGAATCAAACAAGAATTGTCTCCATGTAAAATTATGTATTTAAATGCGATTGTACAACTTTCGAAAATGAAATCGCCGAAAAGATATCTTTGCTGAACTTCTTATTCTTCTCAATCTAATGTTCCAATGGGTATTTTCCACAATTTGAGAGATGATAGTACTAACTAGCCATCCAGGCTAAAGTGGGTGGGTCAGTAGGTAAGAGAAAGTTATCAAACGTAGTGTATAATATGTTCGCATTACAGTGGAGATCTGAGGACAAAGTCTTACTCCTCAAATAGAAGTCTAGCAGCACTAAAGTGTTTCCCTCATATGGCGAGCAACCCAACTATCCTGCCTTCTAATTCTAAGGACAAAGGGTTATAAAAACAAAGTTGACTCGTAGATGGCAGTGAGAATTTCCCTGCTGAAGAAACTCCACAAGTATTATATCCACCAGGTCACATATGATCAGCTTCAAGTGGCCGTATGAGCATTCGTACAACGCTAATTCTTTTCTGTTTCACATAGTTAAACAAACTAACTTCGACGGTATGAGCAGTTGGAAGGTGTAAAGACTGCACACACACACACACACACATTCCATGAGCACACTAAAAACACTTCTGATTGTTTGTTAGTTAAACAACTGACGGTTTTGCCCATGGAATATGCATTGAAGGGATGGAAAAGGTCTTTAATAACAACTGTTAACTTAGTGAATGTTGAAGGAATAAAGCTTCTTCATCAAATCTCTGATCACATTCAATGCTGTGAAAAATGGGTTCTCTATAAATTCATTACATTTTATGCTTAACAAGTAGCAGCAGTGTGCGTCGGTGGTACAGTGGTAGAATGCTCACCAACTATGCACGTGGTTCGGGGTTTGATCCCTGGCCACAGACGCACTCCGATACCTCGCTAAGCCAGTAAGTAATAAGAGTGGTAAAGAGGGAAGGTTGGGTATGAGGCGGCTAGCAATCCCATCCTGTAAAAATAAACACCACTGCTACTGAAACTTCAAGCCTCTAGCTTGAGACCCTACGTTCCACTGGGAACGTACAGGTATAAAATAACAAATAAACAATAATGTAGCAGCTGCAGGGTCAACGTGTACAGACAATTACTAGAAACAGGACTTTTTTTAAAAAAAAACTTACACAAGCCAAATCTTCATCGCCAACATCCAGCGCGGCAATGAACACCTGCTCCAAAATTGTATACTCTGGTTAAAAAAAAACATAGAAAGAACACAAAAGAGGTACCAGTAAATAATAATTATATCTCTATAGGTTTGTGAAATTACCTATGTAACAGCGGTCAACTAACAACACAAACCAGAACTTGCTTTATTCATCTTAGCTCAGAAAGTATCATATCAATCAATTATTTAAGATGTACTTTGTAATCCAGTTTACAAACGCATATGCAACTGTGGACATGCAAGTAGATAAACAGCATATTTATCGATTATCACTACCACCAAGTAGTTTGAGAAAATAACATAACGGCACACCATAAGGTGTGATTACTTTAAAGTAAATATTACTCTTCGTTATTAGCCCGTAAAGGCATAACAATAATGCGTTAAGTAAGGGGAGGTGGGGTAGCGAAGGTGTGAACATTAGAATTATTACTTAAATATTGCCTGCCTGACTGGCTGCTTTCAATGCAGAACTTTTCGCAGGTGTGCAGCAGTTTCAGTTGCCACACTCCGTGTAGCACCCAAAAGAATGGAAGAGAGTAATGCGAAATTGAGAAGAGAGATAATAAACAGAAATATGACGTGAAAAGAATAGTGATGTGGAATAACAATAGAATTTTATTGGATATTATAAATCACAAAGAGTCAATGTATTTGCGCCAGCCACTGAGAATGATTGTGAGCCAACCATATCACCACCTGTTTCGAACCAGTAGTTCTTAGAATCCTGAGGACTCTAACCAGTCAGGAATTCTACACCTCCCTACATAGCTGGCTAGCCTAAACTAACTGTTGTGGATTTCCACTGACTGATGAAGCCATGTTTTGGTTGGACTTTTGGCTTTTTTCCAACCTGATCCGTCCTATGTCAGCTAACATTGCCTATTGTCGAGGAAGGTGATGCCTAGGCAGGCATGCGTAACACATGTCCTAACCATCTCAATCGGTGTAACTTCACGGTGAATATTGCCTACCAGGTTTTTATTTACCTCAAGTGTTGGTTTACAAGCTGCATAGTGTAGCGATGATAATAATAATAATAATAATATATTCACTTCATCTTAATGAATGTTTGGTATACAGGATAGCATTTTCGTCGATGGTTTAGTAGTGGAATACTCACCAACCGTACTACACACGTGATCTGGGGTTCAGTCAGTCACCGGCCGATACACTTTAACCACTCATAACTGGCAGTAAGCCCTCTAAAGAGAGAAGGTTGGACGTGAGGCTAGCAACCCTACTCTATAAAAAGAAACACAACTGCTTCTGAAGTTTCAAAGCTCAAGCTTGAAGCCCTATATTCAACTAGGAATGCAAAGGAATAAAATAGTAATAAAATGAATGGAAGTTTCAACATGTAGTGTTGTAATATTGTAACATGAACAGGCTCATATTCCAAGTGCTCCTGAAGATACCTATAATGATCTTTTTATTTCGTAATAGTGGAATACACCATTCTAAAGCAGAAAAGTGCCTCTATTATTGAGTCACTTTCAATCATAAAGAGGCAAAGAGAATATCATTTAAAATAATTGTCTTATGGAGTATTTTTGCATATGCATAACAACCTTATGCAGGAGGTTAGGCGTCGAGTGTTAGGTAAGGAGGGAAAGTCGATCGATGAAGTTGTGTAGCTACATTGATTGAGATGACTTCAGTGTGTGTTACGCAAGTTCAGCTGTCGCCATCATCGACGGGCAATGTTAGCTGACATAGGATTAGGCTGGAAAAGAGTTAGCCAGTGGTGGGCAAACAAAAACATGGAATCACTTCATGAAATCGTCAACAGTTAATCTGAACCAGCCATGTAGGGAGGTGTAGACTTCCTGACTGGTTGGAGTCCTCAAGATTCTAAGAACTAATTGTTGGAGACAGGTGGTGATACAGATGAAAATCGTTCTCAACGGCTTCACTCTTTGTTATCTATCATGTCCAATAAACCTTCATGTTTCCTCATGTCAATATTCTTTCTCCCTCACATTTCTGTCCATAATCGTTCTTTCGAATTCCTTTTTCTCTCTTTTGCCGTCCTTTGTGTTCTGCATGTAGTGTCGAAAGTTCAACTGCTGCACTTCTGTGCGAAGCTTTATGTTAAAACCAGTCAGTCACCTATTATCTTATCTACTAGGATGCATTAAAGGGTTTCAGGAAGTTGCAGTGAGCCGAAAGAAACACAGCGTTTATTAGGGGGACTTTACTCTAAGTTTTACGCCGTTTTATTCTTCATCAACTTGGAAGTGCTGTCAGTGTTCTAGTATGGTTTGTCAACTGGCCAAAGCTACGATGCACAAATAAGTACTCTAGAAGTAGCAGCAGCTCTGTATAAATTCACATTAAAAGAGGATAACTGTGATTTAATTGAGTCTCATTCTAAATCAGCGTGATCTGAATTATCCACGTAGAAGTTTAAACAAAAGTGTAGCGCTTCAACTTATCACTATTCATAAAGGCACACAAAGTTAAGGGAAGAAATAAATGCAAAGTAACCATAATATACGAATGTATGCAGGAAGAATGATTACGTGGTGAATGATGAGGATTTTATGAATCTGAAAGTTCGCAAAGGATGAATGCATCCGAGACAATGAGAACAATTTTGAACCAACTCGTCAACAGTCTCTAGTCAACGATTTGTGGCCAGGCAGTCCTCACCTTCTGGTGTGGCTCAAATCAATTAAGTTCTTGTGAACTGACGCCATTTTTTTCATTTCGCCACCCGTAAATCTTTTCAAGCCTAGTCCTATATCAGATAGCACCGCTTGTCGAGGCAATGCTTCAATACGTGGAACACATGTTCCACGTACTTTAATACATACAACTTAACAACTTAATCGACTGACTGTCTGTTCTGGTCGCTAAATATCCGCACAATACCAGTTCACAACGATTAAGACATAACAATTTTCTAGTCGATCTCCCTGTCTCCAACTACTAAATGAGAAGACTCGTACAATAATATTGTAACCTACATCCCAATAAAGCAAACAAAAGATTACCATTTAATTACAATAATAATAGTAATGATAATAATAATCAAACAGCACCATGGTAACTAATCGTACAGAGACAAAGGCCGAGTAGTGAGTGTCTGTTAAAGTGGTGGAATCTGATTGATTGTTCTACTGAATGACAGACAGATAGTTAATATTAATACACTTTGAATTCTGATTGGTAGAATATTGAGGTGGTCTGTTGTTGCACACAACACTTTCCTTCCTTACCTAACACTGTGTTTAACCTCATTATTAATGTTTATATTACACTGTCTACACAAGAAATTGGGTGCAGACACCTATGACCGAAGAAGGCTAATTTTTCATATACTGCGCATTTCGCGGATGTGAAGTAGAACAGAGCTATATGCTGCATAGTATACACGCTTTGATGGCGACTAACACGATGTCACCTAGTGAATACTAAACTCACTATCTTAGGACGGTAGGAGCCGCTTAAAAATGGTAAAAGAGCGAATAGTGTCTATAATGAGGTTGAGGGAATCCATTTGGGGAGTTGGGAAGCGCTAGTCTCAAACCAGCATTATATATATATATGCTGCCGCGTATTTTATTAGGTGTGTATCTCCGTCCTATATTGTTCAACCCTAAATGGATCTTCAAAAAACACCAAGTTAAAATAAAAGCCCAAAAGTTGCAGGTCATCGTTGCCAAATTAATGATAAACCAAAATACAATGGAAAAAAGATGAAGTGATCGGATTTACATACTTTCATAACCCAACTTGTTTATACAATCACGAAGTGACATCTTCCACAGATCAACAACTTTTTCATTTTCTCTTAGACCGCTCTCGCGAATTACACGTAGTTCATCCAGTGCACCTAAAGTTTTTAGGAACAATTTCACAAATAAACAAAAGTGACAGTTAATGGCTTTTAGAAGTTATACCAAAAAATTTAGGATACGCTCAATAAAAATAACGACTTATTTATGGTCGATAAACATGTAAAACTGCTTAGTCTTATCATTCTTAACTCAATTGGCCGCATATTCAAGACTATTCACAGAAGTTGGGTGGTACTTAAAATATACGACCACCCATCGTTCTACTATTTTAACTGCCAATGAAATAAATTACAAATGTAATGAGACGAAGTGTAGTATATTTACCGTCTGAATCGAGCCTAAATGCCACGGGGTATAGGTAGAGTCACCGATATATCCAACATATTACTTCTCACTGGTAACCACTTTACCTAGACAATTACCTGCCTGTCTGCAAATTCTAATGAATAACGTTACACAATAAACAGTCTAGTGACAACACAGAGTTTCGAAAACTGAATTCTTGACCACTTGTGATGACTTGCTGCCTTAGGCTCTTGCATATCAGTCAAGTGTGTCTAGGGCTGAAATCTCGCTTCACTTACTTCAGCTTTGGAAATTAGGAAGAATTAACCCTCACAAACAACCTCGCCTAGATTACTAGTTCACTAGTATTCTAGCCGGTCCCAAGCCCGGATAAAGAGGGAGGGTTGGGGCGTGGTGCTAGCAACTCCACCCCCAAAACTTAACCAAATTGCTACTAAAACTTCAACGCACAAATATATTCAAAATTCTAAAATTACAAATAGTGACCTTATTTTTCGCTGGAATCGGGGAAGTGAAATGACGCGGGCTGGTGAAAGCCCTCGGGAAGCCAGTCAGCCGATGTGCCTTCTTTCGATGAAAGCGAAAATAAGGATGGGGACGTGGAATGTTCGCACAATGTACGAAGCTGGGAAGGCTGCTCAGGTAGCCGCAGAAATGAGGAGATATAGAATAGAAGTGTTGGGAATCTGCGAGAGCAGATGGAACGGATGTGGAAGGAGCCAACTATCAACTGGAGAGACAATAATCTACTCCGGTCACCCAGAGGACAACCACGAGCACACCGAGGGAGTAGCCATCATGATGTCACCAACAGCGGCTAAAGCTCTCATGCAGTGGGAACCAATCTCCTCCAGGATAATGACAGCCAGGTTCAACTCAAAAGGAAAAAAGGTTACAATCATTCAGTGCTACGCGCCTACAAACGCCTCAGAACATGAGAAGAAGGAGGATTTCTACAGTCAACTACAAACAGTAATGGACAACGTCCCAAAGAGCGATATCAAAATCCTGATGGGCGACATGAATACGAAACTGGGAGGAGACAATACAGGAAGAGAACTCACCATGGGTCGTGAGGCCCTCGGTGAAATGAACGAAAATGGTGAACTCTTCTCAGACTTCTGCGCCTTCAATGATTTGGTGATTGGCGGTAGTGTGTTCAAACACAGGGATATACACAAGGCAACATGGATTTCACCAGATGGACACACCAAAAACCAGATAGACTTCATTTCAATCTCAAGGAAGTGGAGACGGAGCCTACTGGACACAAGATCGAGGAGAGGAGCAGATGTGGGTTCAGACCACTATCTGGTACAAGGGACTTTCAAGGTGAAGCTGAAAGCCTCGAGGATACCTGGGGATAGGCCACAATGCAAGTTCAACACTCACAAACTGAAGGACACAATCACACAGGACATTTTCACTGCCATTTTCACTGTCAGAGCAAAGCAGGAAACACTACGTGGCACCACTGAGGAATCATCCGTGGAAGACCATTGGAACTCTCTGAAGGTAATTTCCAACGAAACGTGCTCAACGGTTTTAGGAAGAAAGAAGAAACAAGACAAGGAATGGCTCTCAACAGACACTTGGAAACTAATAGAGGAGAGGAGAAAAGTGAAAGAGAAAATGATTCAATGCAAAGATGGACAAGAGAAAGAGACGCTGAACTCAACTTACACAGCACTGGACAAAGAAGTGAAGAAGAGTGCCAGGAAGGACAAAAGACAATTCTACGACAACCTGGCTACTGAAGCTGAGAAGGCAGCAGGCAAAAGGGACCTGAGGACACTATATCAGATAACCAAGTCTCTATCCGGGAAGAGATCAACACAAGTGAAACCTATAAAAGACAGCCAAGGGAACCCAATTACCAAAGAAGAAAGACAGATTAAACAATGGGCGGACCACTTCAAAGGACTCTTGAACCGACCACCACCTACAACCCATCCAGTAATACCAACAACAGCACGTACACAACTGCAAGTTGACACCAATCCTCCAACGAAAACTGAAGTCATGAATGCAATCAAGCTTCTGAAAGCTGGAAAAGCAGCTGGACCAGATGGAATACCCCCGGAAGCACTGAAAGCGGACCCAGAAACGACGGCAGATATGCTGACTCCATTATTGCAAAAGATCTGGAAAGAGGGAAAGGTGCCTACTGACTGGAGGAAAGGTTACCTCGTGAAACTACCGAAGAAGGGCGACCTGGGACTCTGCAAGAACTGGCGAGGAATCATGCTCCTGTCGACGCCAAGTAAAATCCTGAGTCGCATCATCCTGGAGAGAATCAAGGACGCGCTGGATACAGAACTCCGACCAGAACAAGCTGGATTCAGGAAAGGCAAATCATGTTCTGACCAAATTGCAACTCTACGCATTATCATCGAACAAAGCATGGAATGGCAATCAAATCTCTACCTCAACTTCATAGACTTTGAGAAGGCCTTCGACAGCGTTGACGGCGAAGTAATTTGGAAACTACTCGAGTACTACGGCGTACCGCAAATATTCATCAACCTTATTCAACAACTGTACGACAACGGCACATGTCAAGTGATCCACAACGGAAAACTCAGCGAAGCGTTTGGAGTAAACACAGGAGTCAGACAAGGGTGCTTATTATCACCAATGATATTCCTAATTGTGGTGGACTGGATTATGCGTCAGACAGTGGGAAACGAGAAGACAGGGATATCCTGGACCGACGTGAAGAACCTAGAAGACCTGGATTTCGCGCGTGGATGATTTATGTTTGATGTCACACAAAATCGAAGACTTACAAGCAAAAACCGACAAACTGGTCGAAGAAGCAGCAAAGACAGGACTCCAGGTGAACATAGACAAGACGGAGGTTATGAAAATAACCAACCAACAACAACAGCAGCAACATCCAGTGCCAATCACCATCAACGGGAGGGATTTGAAAGAGGTTACTTCTTTCACTTATCTGGGGAGCATTGTCTCAACCACAGGAGGAACGGACGAGGATGTCAAATCGAGAATCGGGAAGGCGAGAAACACATTCATCAACCTGAAACCAATCTGGAAATCTTCGTCACTCAGCCTGCATCAACAACAAAATTCAGATTTTCAATACAAACGTGAAGTCAATTTTGCTTTACGGATCAGAAACTTGGCGGGTCACCAAGAATATTTTCAACAGGTTGCAGACCTTTATCAACAACTGTCTTCGCTCCATACTGAAGATTAGATGGCCAGAAAGAATCACAAACAAGAAGCTATGGGAACAAACGAAACAGGAACCAATCGCCCAACAAATATGCAGGAGAAAGAAGTGGAGATGGATTGGACACTCGCTGAGGAGGCCGTTGAGTGACATCGCGCGTCAAGCCCTCGAGTGGAACCCGAAAGGGAAGCGGCGAGTGGGACGTCCAAGGGTGACATGGAGGAGATCGTGTGAGGAGGAGATGAAACAGTATGGAATAACATGGACGCAAGTGAAAAGAACAGCAGAAGACAGAAGCAAGTGGAGACGTGCAGTTGAAGCCCTATGTTCCACTAGGAACCCAAGGGAACAACAACAACAACAACAACCCTCACAAACAGTGTCTTACACCCCAGGTACATGAGAATTCAGTTCCAGGTGATTGAGTTCTACCCAGATCACTTGCTTCCCAACAAATCGTACTTAGTGTACAAATGATGGAGAATAAGCCGATATGTAACACTTCGAGATCAGTATAACCAATTATACACTGGTTGATGTATAGTATAGGCTGTGATCACCCCAACATGAGATCTAAAACTTTCAGATTTAACTTCTCTGAGTGACAGGAAGACATTAAATTAATTGAAATCCAAAAGTATCATTTTTCTGTGATTCACAGCCAACTGCGAAATTTAGCCAAATTTTAGACGACTGTGCGACTTGCTGGATGGAAACCAAGACAATATGACACATAAAACCAGTACAGTATGGACGAAACGGCAATTTAACAATTGTAAATATATTTCAGTTGTTATTTACACACAACTTGACAATTTATTATGTGTTGGACTGACCAAATATTGAGTTAATTTAGTTTGCGGCCGAGTCTAACATTCCACAAGCTGCTTCCAAGGCTACCACAAACTAAAGGCATTCAAGTCACTAATTAAACTCCCATGAAGTTATTTTGAAACAATTCGGAGTCAGCATTGCACAAGAGCGAAAAAATCACATCAGGTGTATAGTTATTAAGGAAAACCTTGCTCCGGTAATCTGTTAAACATAGCTGGTAAACATGTCACGTAGAATTCCCAAGACAAAGGATGCGAGTCATCAAAAAGGACAGGCTGTATTATATCATCAGTTTCAGATATAAAACAGGAGTTTTTAGGTATAACCAAAAGGACTCACGCTGCTTGGAGATCCTCTGACGAGGATTATGCTTTTCCGTGAAGGCACCAACCATCATTGAGAAGAGAACGGTTAGATATCCATAGATCAGCTTCTTCGCTTCAGTAAACCAAGAGGTAATTTCAAGACTCATTCCTTAATATTTAAAGTTGCTTCAGTGTGCAGAAGAATGACACTGATAAGTATTTATTAAGATGAACTCTTGAAAAATCTAAAAAAGAAAAACGAGAAACATTATGTAGTGGTACAGAGAGGCGAAACAAAGTATTCCAGATGCCTGGAAGACCCAAGGCTGTATTGTTTAGAACTCTTGCGAATAACACATGGATGACAAACAGAGACTATCTAGAAAACTGCTGAGAGAAAACGACCTGCACTCCCACCTCAAGGTCAAATAGCTTTAAATTTGGCTCTAAAATAAACAAGGCCACGTCGTTCCGTAAATATCTTGCAGACTGTTTGAGCCGTTCCTGTTGTTGGTAATTTTGTCGAGAATATAACGAAATAATGATCTGTGAATATTCAGAGCCCATATTTTGCAAATTTCCCGGAATAATTTAACTCCTAGTCAGATTTGATCCAGTATCCAACATCATTTTTACGAGCTAGTGTAAATCAAATTAGTTTCTTTGTTCTAGCTTCTTGGTCGCAAGGCAAGGGTTGCTAGTCCTAATTGAACTTCCACGTACTAAGTCCCGCACTCTACTGCCATAGCTTTGGCTGACTAGAAATAGGAGTAGTTCAAATGAACTGTCGTCAAGATTTGACAGAGTAGCAGTAAGAATATTTGGGCGCCCAGTGAGAAGTAGACATTTGTAAAACATTATATTTTGTTTTTTCCAATGACAAGCCATCTAAACAGCCCGGCTCTTATTTCCACTGACGGCTAAAAGATTTGGAGGGCAATTGAGTACTTGGAAGACTCTAATAGGCCGACCTAAAGGTTCTGAAAGAATGGGAGACGGTCAGTGGTGCGGCTTTAAACCTGAAAAAAAATGCAAATTACTGCACCTACGCATATGTAGGCTACATAAGGTAATTTACTCCCTGTGAAGCGATAACTGATTCTGTGTGACGTCAGAAAGTGTCTTAGATCTAGTTCTAGCAGATAAATGGACACAAACGTGAACTACTGTGGTGACTTAATGATACACTCTATGTACAGGAAATTAGTTACGCGCACTTCTGAGCTTTTTTCTAAATTCACACAAAACATACGTGAGAACACACCCTGAAATGCAAAACATTATTACTCCTCAGTTACTCAGAAGGGATGCATATCTTTTGGAAGGAGTCCAAAGAGTGCGGTAAAGCGACAAATTGTTATCGAAATGCACTATCTAATGTAACGCTGAAAAATATAGATCTTTCTAAACCTAGCCACTATTGGCTTAGCAATGACTTAATCACTGCTTATAAAATTAAAATCATAAGAACCATTCAAACAGGGGTATTCTGCTAACAAGTATGTACGGGCTTCCTCGTGCCAATCCTAAAATGACGGCTCATTGAAGGACACAGATTTCGGTGCCCTCACATTTCTTTTCTCGTCGGCCTTGTTGCTCCTAGAAACTCTTTACTAACATATAAGCTTTAATCGCGACAGACAGACAGATTGCATGATAGACAGCTAATCAATATGATGTGACCTTTTCGTCGCGATTATTGGTTAATTTAATGTAACTCACACCATGTGATGTGACCTTGAGTGTTCTTTGTTTTCTGTCACCCTATTCGTGTGTACATGTAATTAATTAACTGTTCATTTTTTCCGTTCCCTCAATACTGTTCGGTACGTTTTTGTCTTTTCTTGAGTGGCAATGGGTTTTATAATTTTCTTGGTGTAATTGTATGATTTATTTTATGTTTTAGAAACAGATAAAGTTTAATTCAAGTCATTCTGTTTTTAACTCTGTGTCGTCAGTACTGAAGAAGGACTAAATCTGTAGGCAAAATTAATCTTACAAAGTTTCGAACAGTATGGCAGACGAAAAATATGAGACTATGCTGACGTTAACTCCACAGTCAGAAAAGAGTGGTGAAACTAATTTCCATGGAAGCAACGAGTATAAATCCAATTATATGGTGGAGTTGGAGCTAGCGAAATTCCTTATAGTCCAAGTAGAGAAAGAAATTGAATTGGACAGATTACGACAAGCTAGTTGTGAGTGTTCTGATCATAATAAGTCTCCTTACAAGCCTTCCACCTCTCATACAGTCACGATGAGTTCGCCAGAACCATGTTTAAGTTTCTGGACATGCCTAAAAGAGAGATTATTAAGTTTAACGGTAATCCTGTCAATTATTGGAATTTTATAAAGATTGATATCAGTTAGAGAACCATTGAAAACCAGGGAGTGCTGGACAGCTGCCGTTTCATCATAGTTCGGGAATCATCGGCAGTACGCACCCACTGGGATTCGAACCCAGGACCTTCCGGTTACAAGGCAAGCTAGCTGGTATACCATTCAGCCACTGGGACCCGATTCAATGGCTCGTGAATGCCAACTTATACCAATTCTTGATTTAGCGTGACCCCAACCATTGTCGTTGGTCGGAAATCCATCCACACACGTGACATCTAATTGGACCTCACTGGTCACGACCTCTCACTAGAACTCCAGGAAACTCCATCCCGTAGCAAGTCACCAACGAGAACCAGATTAATTTTCTATAGTTTGGTTTGTAAGGGTTTGTTATGTTTTTACGAGTCGGTCACGGACTGATATCAGTTAGAGAACCATTGAAAACCAGGGAGTACTGGACGGCTGCTGTTTCATCCTAGTTTGGGAATCACGAATTGAATCGGGTTCTAGTGGCTGAATGGTATACGAGCTTGCCTTGTAACCGGTAGGTCCTGGGTTCGAATCCCAATGGGTGCGTACTGCCGATAATTCCCAAACTAGGATGAAACAGCAGCTGTCCAGTACTCCCTGGTTTTCAATGGTTCTCTAACTGATATCAGTCCGTGACCGACTCGTAAAAACATAACAAACCCCTACAAACCAAACTATATAAAATTTTATAAAGAATTTTGAAGACTTGGCGGATACTTATGCTATTGGATACCAAACTAAGCTAAATTACTTAATTGAGTATTGTGAGGGAGAAGCAAAAGATGTAATCAAACATTGCGTTTCGTTAGAGCCAGAGGAAGGTTATTATAAAGCCCTAGAACTGTTAGAAAAAGCATTTGGGCAAACGCACGTTGTGGCCCGAACTTTCGTAGAGAAAAACCTGGAATTTCCGAATGTTAAAAGCAATGATGCAGCATTATTAAGAAAGTTATCTCACGAGATGCAGGCCTGTGAACTAACATTAAAGCGGATGAACTATGTTTCAGACTTGAATTCTGGTAGAACTATTGAACAACTAGTTCTAAAACTCCCTGTCCATTCACAGAGAGAATGGATAAAGGTCGCTTGCAACGTCATAAAGAGCCGTCGCGAACCATCATTTAGCGACTTTTGCTTGTTTGTTAAGGAGCAGTCAAATATGGCTAACACCAGGTATGGGCTGCTAATCAATGGGCATTCTACGGGAAAAATAGCAAAGAGTTTAGCATCCCTATGACGAAAAACTCTGGTTCTAAACACCGAGTGTTTGTTGACAGGCTCTCAGAGAATAATGTCAAAAATCCGAATGATGATCCTAGGAACGTTTATTTATCCCTCCCTGTATATTATGTTCGGGAGGACATTTCCTAGACCAGTGTTCGAAGTTTAAAGATAAAGACCTTGATGAACGTCTGGCATTTGTTTCCAAGAGAAAACCATGCAACGTATGTTTAAAAGCAAATCACATAGCAAAGAATCTTCTTTCTCCGAGGTCCTGTACAGTTGAAGGTTGTGGATGGGGACACCATACATTTGCTGCACAGAAGCCAGGGATTATCCGACGAAATAAGATATGGTGTGCATATCAACGATCAACAGTGTAGTGATATGACTTCGCACAAGACTCCGACAAGTGAAACAGCATTCGTTATAGTGCCCTTTTTAGCCAGACATAACGGGAACGTTTAAACCTGTGCGTTTGTGGATAGCGGTTCAGACGCAACACTAGTCACAGGAGATCCAGCAAGAGAATTAGGTTTAGTAGGAGCAACTAAGACAGTCTCCCTTAAGACGCTTGGCTCACAATCCACTTTGTCTTGCGAACAGGTACAACTAGAAATCTCTCCGTTCTATTCGTCCCTTCATGTTACTGTTTCCAAAGCTTGGACGGTACAGAGGTTGCCACAGTTACAAAGAGTTGTGCCAACAGCAGATCAGATGGCCTCATGGAGTCACCTAGACGGAATAGTTTTACCGGAGGTTAAGAATGAAGAAATTAAGATGCTTATTAGCTGCAACGTGCCAGAAGCTCACATAACGATCGATAAAAGGCTTGGTGGAGCTAACGAACCTTGTGCCATAAAGACTCCCTTGGGATGGACATTACTGGGACCATACAGGAAGACCCTTGGAGAAACTAGCATGGTCAATCATATCTTAGCCAAAGAAAAATTTGAGGCCATGTTTAAACAGTTCTATAAGAATGAGTTTGGCGATTTGAGCGGTCAAGTGCCCAGGTGTGTGGAAGGTCGTAAGGCTCTGAGTATTGTGTCAGAGTCCAGACAGTTAGTTGACAGACATTATCAGATAGCACATTCATGGAGTCGACAACAAATTTTATCTAATAATAGAAAACTGGCGATGAGTAGACTCAATTCGTTGAGGAAACGCCTCTGTCAAGACTCAGACCTGCACAAAGAGTATACTAATATCATGTCTCAGTATACTGAAAAAGGTCTCGCGGAAATGGTCGAAGATGATCACGTTAATGGACAGGTTTGGAACTTGCCACACCGTAACGGTTTTACTCTTGTGATTTATTGCATCGTTTACTTCTATAGCCTTCAGTTCATCTTCCGGCCAGAAGCACGCTACTTTCATTCTGTTATTTTATTGAGAACATCAAAGCAACCTGTTCTTTCCCATAGTATGGAATTCTGCGTAGATGTCCTATCTCCTGTTCACTGTGTTGACGTAACCGAAGCATTCCGTTCACTTAGTAGAGGTGAAAAAGACTATGCCTTCAGCTGCACACAAGCATCATGGGTTGATGGTCTGATTGGTTTAATTCAAACATCCCCAGAGTATGCTTGAATATTCCTATTTATTTATCGATTCTTCAGGTCCCGAGATGTGTATTCATTCACTGAAGAAGCGAAAAGAACTTTTCTGGGGAGGAGATAAACCACTTGCTATCGTACCTTGCAACAGTTCTAGGCAACTTTGGAAATTACTTATCTTTTGGAGACACCAAGTTCGTTCCAGGTATTACTTTGAGTGGAGTAACAGAGCTTCTATCAGTGAATAGCGCATTTCCTAATCCGGAGACAGGTCTCAAAGCTTTGTGGGAAGAAGTAGCTCCTGCAATATATTCATTAAGCTCCCGTCGTTTGCACCTTGGATTTGGTTCAACTGAAATAACAGCTTATTACTCCTCAAACTTTACTCGTAGTGATGCTGAGTTAATTCAAGAGTAC